GAGGTTTAAACCCCCCCCCCCCCCCCTTCCCTGTTTACTGAGGTAATTACGTCACATAACGTCACTGGGCCCTTCGCACATGAATAACTCCACTTCGTGTGCCTTCGTATGACTTCGTGAGTGTGGAAAGACAGCTTCGCGCACATTAGTCAACGCCTTCGCTTGTTCACTTTGCCGGATACTCTTGTCTAATGGTTTTCAGAGAAGCGTGCAAGATATGGAAGAAATGAACCAGTTTCTAAATCTGCAAGAAAGATTCGAGGTGAGTACATATGATTTGGTGCACTAGCTCATACAATAATGGCCGTCAAAGAAGGGCTTCATTCCCATTGAAACATTTTCCAACCAAATTCATTTTAATTTTGGAAGAATAGATGCACTTTGTCGCCCCTGTACCAAGAATATGCGCTGCAATACATATCACTTGCATTGACTCGTCGCTGCAGGATTTCTAATAATAAACGAGTTCCTTTTTATGTTTCGCACCAGGTTAGTCAAGAAGCAAACATCAAAGTTCATCAGTCACTTTGCGAACTAATAAGTTCGTTAATACACTATTTCAAGTTGCCCCATCAAGAAAGACTAGAATCACGGGCTACAAGGTACATAGATTTAGTTGCAAGTCAACCTTGTGCCGTCTTCATGGTATATATTTACATTTTGTACTTACGTTTTTGACAATACACTTACATCTGAGTTCAGTACGTGTGCAACATATATTTTTTACAGACTCCTTCAGGAACACAAAGATAAATGGAGAAGTTTAAACTGGGTATGTGTGTGTTTTATGTCAATCAGTGTACATTATGCCAATGAAAGTGTAGAATGCATTTGTTTTTAGGGTAGTTCATTAGCCATTGGCCAGCCACAACCATCAAAATGTTGTACAATGCCATTACTGTAAACTCTTTATTGATTTAAATACTGTAACCAGAGGCGATATCAACAGGCAAGGGAGAGATTTCCATTGTACAGACCTAATCTTCTCAGGTGACTAATAAGGAGCTGTTAACAATGATGGTTCAGAAGAGCAGTAGAACTCTTTGATTCAAGTTTGGTTGTCTTATGACAATATTGCTCTGAATAAGTAACATACTTAACAACATAAAGTACATGTAAGAGAAAGAAAAAAAACAATTAGCACTCTTGAAGAAAAGCAAGAAGAGCTGACAACAGTTTTACACGTAAAGGGCTTAAAGCTTGTCCGTGAACCCTCACGTGGTGGATAATACAAGAAATGGGCATTTAAAGGATTGCTTAATCTAACAAACGTACAAAGGACCATCCACAAGCAGTACTCACCTGCCCTGATGGTGCTTAGTGATTTTTCCTAGTAGTGGTAACCCTGCCATGCTAATGATCTCCCTTCATAAGTCCAAGGGTGGAAAAGATATGAAACCTAACAAAAGAGCCTGCAACAGGCATTTCTAAAATACATCATTACTCTTTAATTTACCACCACAAGGACAATATCCAGAGAATATGTACTGTTAGCCATCTGGTACACTAATCAACTTGCTATGTGAAGCATATTACCATGCATTGTGTTTTGGAAACTTCAACATTTAAGAAGCTTGTTTAATGTGATATTGCAGGATAATCCAATACAAGAAGAGTGCAAGACAGTCACGAAAATTCTCAAAACACAAACAGAATTACTGCAGGTTGGTGATCAGGAACAACCGGTACCCTTTACATGTATCATGAATGAATTCAAACAATTTTGTGTGGTACTCTTTTTTCTGCAGCAAGATTATCATCAAGGAAGAGACGCCTCAAGACAACTTCTTATGGCCCTTTTACGTTCCCTATGGAGATATTTCATGTTTCATTCTCAAGGGAGAATTTGTTTGACAACAAACTTCACAAGGTAATAAACTATATTTCATCATAATCTAAAATCCTATGGTCTTGAGCATAGTGGGTAGAGTCCCTCTTCCACTTAATTTCTAAGTGATAATTTCTGAATTTCAACTTAAACTTTAGCAAAAGATCACCTTCGTATCTTATTATTCAAACGTAGTCAAACAGTTCGCCATAAAATTACTAGCATCCATACGCTTAACTTTGAATAATTGTGAGACTTGGATATCCCCTTCCTGTGGTGACCACAATCACCAGTACACGCCATTTGCTAAGTCTAAAATTGGCAGTTATATCTAAGCGATGAGTGGGTTTTACTTTTTCCTGAATAATTTTCAAAAACGAACATATATAAACGAAAACGAACATATATACATTTTTGGCCTGCTATGTCAGCTTCCTGTACAAAATTGTACATCATTTTAAGGAAAGCAATAATTCCCCTTAAAATTTCCTGAAGTGATAAAATATGGGTGGCTTTATCTTTCTTTTTCTGCAGCCTTAACAATCACAGTGAATGGAAGAAATTTCACGAAGCAATTCTACGGCTGTCTGCCAGTTTGCAACGAAATATTCCCGAAAGAGGTGCTGCATTTAAGCAGGATGTGAAGACGATATTGTATCACCTAAAGAAGTGCAAAACACAGGACTCAGGATCCACAAGGTAATTCTCCCAGGCGGATGAATGATTGTCTAGCGAAAAAGTTGGAAATATTGGCAACTTTTCTGCAATACGATGAGAAAGTTTTCATTCTTAATATTATAGCAGACATGTTAACAAAATTACGTTGTAGCAACTTTCTGCAAATAAACAAAATGTAAAACCTGTTGAATTTATGTTACTTGAAAAATTGGTTGGTTTCAACGATTTCGCTTAAAATGTATTGACGAACATTTCCGTGTATCAAAATTTGGTCAAGTAACTATCCAAGGAAACTGGAGACTGGCTAGCAAACTTTCGGGTTACTTCAGACTCTAGACGCAAATGTACATTTTTTTTCTGTCCTTCTATTCAGATATATTTTCTGTAAAACTATAAATGTATGAGTGAATAAAGTTGTTGTTGTTCTCATGGCAACAATGTTTTGACAGGCTATTCTACTAAAAAGTTGGTTTAACCCTTTGAATACCAAACTTTCGCCAAAAAATACCGTTTTTAACCGTTTGGTCAGCTTTTTTAGCTGCCATGACGCTAAATAAGCCTAAGTTTTGCTAAAAAAGCTTTTTTTACTAAAAGGAGAGATTTTTCGAGGATTAGGTACAAAATTGAGC